TGAGCTAGTGCTAAGCAGTGTAGACAGACATCAGTAAACAACACATACTCTTGGGGCCATGTGCTGCTTTTTGGCCTTTGTTTAATCAGCAGTAGAGATGAGGCCCACAAAGAGCACTGAGTCTCATCAGTATTTAAAGTAAGCTTTTAGTTCTACAAGGTCAAAACACAAACATTACCATCTTTTTGCACATTATCAGAGAGTTGTCTACCCTGTTCTACTTCAGGCCTTTGTTGCTTCTGGAAGTGATGTTTCAGAGCATCTTGGACTGACAAGTTACCCAGTAATGAGCACTACAACAAGTTGTTTTTGCCTGGAAGTAAATTGGGTTAATACAAAATCAATATATTACTGCATTTATAGAGAATGAATGTCAGGTTCTGCATCCCTGAACAGAGTGGACAGACCACTGATATGCCCTCTCACCTCTCACTCTGGGTGAATTCATGGACTTCTACTTTTCTCCAGGACTGCTGGCTTTTGCCTCACTTCCTTTCACAGATGGGCAAACTGTCAGAGCTGCAAATAACTACCACTCCTGCATCACAGTTTTCAGTAAGACTTTGGATCCTGCTTTGGTCATAATGGCTTCTGTTCACCCACCTGCTTCCAGCCATTTAGCTTCTTTTCTTTGATGAAAGGATCTCATTACATTGCAAAGACTATCTTCCACAGGGTTTCTGGAAGATTCTGCATGTGTTTGCACTGGAGAATGTATCTCAAACACATACGAAACCAAGGTATTTGCAGTGTTTTCCACTGGGACCTTTTGAAAACTCTGTGGCAGAGTTGGTAGGCTGCAATCTATTCATTTGTGGAAAAAAGGAAGGAAACCTGGAGAAAGAGTCTGATTCATGTCACTTTTTGCGCAGACCAAAAAACCCCTAACACTCTTAATACACCGTCACTGGGGAATCTGACTACAGTTTTTCTCTCAGTATGGTGCTCTACAGATTGACAGAAAAAGGTGCAGAGAGATGTTAGAAACAGATGAACAGTCTAGTCACTACTGCTGTTACTTCTGCTGCTGCTGGTGGTTATCCTGTTACAGGACTAAGCAGACAGAATGTACATAGGAATGGTATCTTGTACAGACATACAAGCCTGTTGTTTAATTTGACAGCACATTCAACCTTTTTTTTTTTTTTTTTTTTCTTTTTTTAGGTTTAAAACAAAAACA